ATTTGTGGAACACTAACAAACAAATGTGGATTTTAACAATGCAGTTTTTCTGCCTGTCCATCCATATCTGTAGAGACCAAAGGTGTCTGCATGTCTCTGTCTGCCAGTCTCTCCATCCACGTTTCTCTACAGACCGAGGGTATCTGCCTGTGTGTCTTCGCTTCTCTTAAAAACAAATACTTCCAGCATAAAGGGGCATAGTGGATACAGCTGTTCCTAGATTCAGGTTTATCTTAAGGATGCACATATGGGTTATACAACTTTCTATTTTCTACATTCCCAGATGATAAACAGCATAAAATCTAGGGATAAGAGAAACTTGGCAAGATTGGACAATGAGTCAAATCCTTGAACAACTTTAAAAAATATTTTAAAACTTTTTCAAGAAGCTTGTGAGTTTTTCAGGACTGTTTTTTACAGTAAACAAAGGAGGCTAATGAACTGATGTTGTCTTCTTGTGATGGACTCTTACTTGGAGTCTTGGGGACAGCAGAGAGTTATGACAAGGGCGGATAAGATGACTATTCTGTGCATCTGTCAGCCATTTGTAACAAAAAGTTTATGTAAGTGAATTGTACTTTTCTTCTTATTAGATCTAGTTTGTAAGAGGAAGAGGGGCATTTTAGACATATTTCAAAACTGAGTTGCTGATGAGGCCACAGATAGTTGTTCAAGGGTTCGGGGAAATCAGGCAGTGGCTCATCTGTTGTTAATTAATGAAATGAAACTGGGGTCACCAGAGTACAACAATGAATGAAAGGTCAGCGAATGGAAAAAACTGTCAATGAAGGAGGATGTCAGCAGAGTGGAACATAGTCAGAGATAAAGATCAGGGAAAATGTACTCTTTGGCTGAGGTAGTGTTTTCTGGAAGTGACTAGGAGCCATGGTTTGGGACATTTCAAGCCAGACTGAGCACTAAATGAATGGTCTGATTTCAACGGAATCTGTTAAATATTTTAAGGTTATTTGGGTTTGTGCTAGAGACTAGTTGAAAAGATTTCTAAAAAAGAAGTTTCTTTTTGTTTTATAATGTGTTTTACAATGTTTTATTGTCGTTTTGTTTGGCTTTGGGGTTTTGTTTTGAGGCTGAATACTGGATCCTTTCTCTCATTTGTTTCTGTTCTCTGTCTTAGAATTTTCTAGAGCCACACTCACTGTTGGGGTCCACCAAAGTTCGGGGATTGAAGATCGCTGCACTCATTAGCGATAGCGCTGACCTGGGGCAGCCCAGGCTGGCTGGCTGTCAGGTTGCGGTTGTTGCAGGGTTGTATCCCCTCTGGTTCTGTGGGGATGGCCTGAAAGTCATCCAGACAGAGATTCAGTTTCACTACCAACCTGCAAACTCTGATCGGGAAAACCAGTGACTGTAGTCATATTTCAACTAGTTCATTTGTAAACTTTGTTATTGGTTTCATGCGAAGCGCATTAGTGCGTCTCAGTGTCTCTGGTCATGTCCGACCTCCTTCCCTTTTTTCTCGTGGAAGCTTTTGAACCAGATGGCTGTGGGGAAGCAAGCCTGTTCTCTCAGTTTGGGAGAGGCCTGTGGTGATTTTCTGCCTGGTGTTGAGACCTAGCAGGTCACGGCTGCTGAGGGCAGGACCCCGCAGGTGTCAGCAAGGCTGTCCCCACGTCCTGGAGAGAGTTAATCCCGTGGAATTCAGAGAAGTGATGGAGCCCAGCGATTGCGAGTGCAGTCTCCAGGCCAGACTGCTGGGCTCCCTGCTCTCCCAGTGTTGTCCTGTGTCTTTCTGAGCTTCTGTTTTCTTATCCATAAAATGGGGATAATAATAGCACCTACCTTATAGGTAGTTGTAAAGATTGAATAAATACTGGTAGGGTGCTTAGAGCAATGTTCATCACATAGTAAATGTTCAGTAATTCTCTGATTACTTATATTTAAAATGGAATTCAGGCCGGCCCCGTGGCTTGGCGGTTAAGTACGCGCACTCTGCTGCTGGCGGCCCCGGTTCTGATCCCGGGGGGGCACCTACGCACCGCATCTCCGGCCATGCTGGGGCTGCGTCCCACATACAGCAACTGGAGGGATGTGCAGCTATGACATGCAACTATCTACTGGGGCTTTGGGGGGAAAAAATAAATAAATAAAATCTTTAAAAAAAAAAAATAAAAAATAAATAAATAAAATGGAATTCAAGTGGAGTTTCCTTGGATCATCTGATTCCTCTTTTCTCTGAGCACATTTACTAGAATATTGGTTTGTTGGATTTAAATGAGAGACCATCCCATGAACCGTTTTTGAACCAGTGTAGAAAAAAATATGAAAACAGTTCTTTAGAGAAACACCAGAACCACAGACATTAATAGAAGTTAAACTTTAAACTCATACAACTAAACTATAATCAAAATAGTGCCTGTTTTTTTGTTGGGTAGGTGTAAGATAGGCAAAGAATGATGAGACTTAACATTTATTGTTAGAAGAACTACTTTGGGAAAATATCCTCACCTTAAATAACTGTATTATGTAATTAGAGAGACTGAAAAGGAACAAAACCCTAATAGAAACAAAAGGATAAATTTTAAACAGTGACACTCATATCCATGTGCCAATATCGGCCGACCCCTTTTTGAGATTGTCTGTAGGTTATACTCTCGGGTGTGGGAATTCTGACTCCATTTCAGTAGTGGCAGTGGCTCTAGCATAGTGTTCCCTTCAGTGTGAGTTCCGTTAGTTATTAATAGATTTTAGGGGGGGAAGAAGAAGGGGGCATTCCATGGTCAAATGAGTTTGGGAAACTTACTTGAGTTAAGAGAAATTAAACCAGTTTCTTTGGAGATACTTTTTGGAGCCTTCAATATGCTAATGTCTGTCGTGACTCTCCCAGGGACATACGATACGCAGTATTTCTCTTACTTTGGACCAATATCTCATCTGTCAGCTTCCTGCAGGACACCAGTGCTCTGGAGCACACTTTGGAAATGTAACCTTAGAACCATTGCCTCTTTCCCTTTGTTTCTCTGGTGAATCCTGACAAGGTGTAGCTACACAATTCACTGCAGATCAAGGGCAGAGGAAGGCCTCACAGAGGAGGCTGGGTCCTATATATATGATCACCATCTTGAAATAATAATTACTGATACCTATAGAGTGCTTACTATGTGCCAGGCACAGGGTACTTTAGAGATGTATTAACTAATTTAATCCTCTTAACAACTCTGTGAGGTAGGTATGATCATTATCCCCATTCATAGATTAGGAAACTAATAGCCAGAGGGCTTAAATAGCTTGGCCAAATCAGACAACCAGAAAGGGGTGAAGCCCGCACGGTCGTGGGGCTTGTGTGTGTGTGGTTGTATGCTGTGTGTACATGCACGGGACAGGGCACTGGTGGTTGTCATATTCCTGGATGAGGAACAGTGTGAAAGTGTGAAATAACAGTGAGGTTTGTGTGGCTGGAGGGCATGTTTGGAAATGATGAGAAATGAAACCGTGACTCTGTACAGGTTCAGATCCTGAGGGCCTCATCTGTCACACAGAGGAATTTGGGATTTCTATAATGGAACCACCTACTCTTGCCATCAGGTCACCTTTAGAACTTCAGTAAGCAAACTGCTTATGAGTAAAAACGGTGTAGACACTTGGTCAGGTTGGAGGCTAGGAATGTGCACTTCTGCATTCTGCAGGGGGCACAGTTGTCACCGACTTCTGCCATCCCAGCTTGTGCTGTAGAACTGTACTGAGCCTAGGCGATAGACACAGGGTCTAGTGAATTCTGCTTGAATTGGACATAACACAGGGGATGATAAGGGCTGACACTTTCCCCTCGACTCCCTGCACTCGTGCAGTTTTTGAGGGTGTATTTTGTGTGCTTCTGGAAGTGGACTAGAGGCTAATAGACGTACAAGGAGATGGAGATAAATATGTAATGAGATTGTAGAGTCTTCTTTAAGGCTTGATTAAAGAGGTAAAAGTGGGGCTGCCTTGTCTTCTAATAAGATTTAACATGTTAATTGTTTTTTAATTAAAGAGTATGAAAAATATACAAGTATTCTCTATGATCCACATCTCTTTGGTTCCTGAGTTTGAACTTAGTGAGTAGTGAGGGTTTGGATAGCAAGGGACTTATCTGAAAATTTATCAGAATCTATTTAGTTCCTGGGTTTGGATTTGGATAGCAAGGAGTATTTAGATTGGAAAACCCAGTGAAGACCTTATTCATTTTTTCTTTTCCCAACGGAGGTGAGTGTGCCTCTATGCCTAGATAGATTTCTCTTCACTGAGAAGTGGCAAGATGGTGACTTAATGAAAGTCATAGAGCAGATCATTATAAGGACAGGACTAGAAAGAACTAAATTCCTCTGAGTCCGGCAGTCTTGCCGCCAGGGCTTCATATACCCTAAGCTATTAGGGTCTGTCAGCACTCCTTCATAGTGCTCGGCAAAATGATGCCTGGGGAGACCCAGGCATCAGTGGTAATTATGGGAACCTTGATGTAGAGAATATTTGTAAGAGTAGGGGTGACTATGTGTGTGATACCTTTGAAATAAAAAGCCTACATAGCAGGAAGATTTAAGGTTAATTCTAGAAAGAATTTTTAAGTTACTTTTATTTTGAAGAAATAACATCTGGCCTCAGTTCACATGTTTTTATATCCCCATTTTGCTTCTGTGCATAGTTGTCTTGACTTGGTTATTTGCTACTTTAAATCCTCTTTAGTTCCACAAGGAAGCATTCACGTGGGGGCTGGGGAGCAGGGAGAAAGTGTAGGATGTGGGAGGATGAAGAGAGTGAGGAGAAGGGAGCCGTTTAAAGTGCCTCCAGGGCTTGCGTATCCCTCTTGTGGCCCTACACCCAAGACTCAGTGCTGGATTATACATCAGACTCAGCAGCTGGCAGCTGAGACAGGAGTGCGTGTGCAGTTGTGTCCACTTGCATCTCTGGGATTTGATTTTTCTTTCTAAACAGTTTTATTTGAGTAGTTAACAGAAGGCTGATTTTTACCTTTGTGCATGGCATAATTTTATAATGTTTGTTCTTAGGTGGGTTTGCTGAGTTCTCCCGCTGTTTCCCTGGCCTCTGTGAAGGAAAGTCCACTCTAGTCCCTACCTGCATCTCTCAGCCTTGCTTACCTGTTGCCAACATTGGGCCAACCCGAATTCTTCCCAATCTCTATCTTGGCTGCCAGCGAGATGTCCTCAACAAGGTGGGTGCTTTGAAAATATCCTTCGTTGCAGGGTTTATTGTTAGCAGCTGGAGAAACAGCGCTTGCCCATTAGCTGTCATTGCGAACACACCCGCTCCCAGAAAGGAAGTACACCGTCCTCTGTGACTCCCCAGCGAGCAGTTGCATCATCTTTTGGAGCCTGTTTTGTTTGACGTTGCTGATTGCCATAGGAAACCTAAACTGCTGTCATGTTTGCTTGTTCCTCATAGGTCCCAGAGACCTGGAATAGGACAGGATTTTTCAGACGTTTAGCCTTGTTTTCTTAGGGTATTAATTGTTCTATTCCAGTAATTGGGCCCCCTCAAGAAGGCTGATGCTTCCTAGGTTATTTCACATTTAGAAATGTATTTATTTATTGCAGTGCACTAGAAAGGGACTCAGGTGGGCTTGGATTGAGGAAGGGCCTCATGATGACCGCTGGCTGGAGGGGTAGGGGGAGGTGGTAACAAGATGGTGAGGACAGGGGCAAGAGTAGGCACGCCCTGTCTGGAGCTCATAGGAGCAGTTTGGTTGAGAAAGAAGAGGGAAGAGAATAATTCTTGCTGGAAGGGATGTGGGCCATGCTGAGCAAGGTGTGCCCCATACAGGAACCCATACTGATGGAGGCCATTGCATATAATGGTACAAGCATAACAGTAGTAGAAGTAAAATCTGTCTGCCTCCATGGCTTTATGCTCTTAACCAGTAGTGCTAGAAAACAGTGCTCTTACTGCCTGAAAAAGTGATTTTTCTCTGAAGCCTCTTATTTATATCATCTCTAATTGAAAAAGCAATTGAAGACCTTAATTCAGCTGTTCGTGATTTACAAGTGCTGCTTTCCTATGTGAAGGGCAGGACCTTAACATTTTCTCCTTGAGTCACTGAGAGAATTGGGCTGACTATAAAATAAGCTTCCAGATTGGCTTGTTTTAGCACATGGAAAGCAAAAATACCCTATCATTGGGCAGCGATGAGGCTTTTTTTTCTCTTTTTTATTCTCAGAACTCCTGCCTCTTCAAAATTTTGCCTCGACACTGTTGTTACTGTCTGCTCTCACCTTGAGATATTTGAAATCTGATAGCTTATTGTTCTTAATCTGTACTGAGTCTTTCTGGTAGGGTCACAATGCCTTGAGCATGTGATTATTATTAATTCTCTTCTAGAGATAAGCAAACTATGTCACAGAAAGCAAAATTAATTTCCTAAAGTCACATGCATCTCTGAGACAAAGCTGGAGATGCTTCATTTAATCCTCAGGTCAGAAAAAATAAAAAACATGAAATAAAATTCCTAGTTAAGGATGCTGTTCAGAATTACCCCAAGTAAAACTTAACAAGTCAGCAGGTGATTTTAAAAATAATTGTGTTACTGATCATTTCTGTTACTTTTGACATTAAATGGTACATTCATTTTGCTATATCCCTTTTCCAGATTTAACAAATGTGTCAGGTAACAACTTTCTAAGTGCCTGCAAGGTGAGAGCAGCTCAACTGAAACCTGGAGCTGAGGGTGAGGAGGGTAGTTCTCTATTTTAATTGGCTTCTAAATGTATATTAAACAGGATACATCCACAGATGCATTGAGAGGAAATGGTTGTAGGGTTTATGGAAGTTCACAGGGAAGACAGCTTGGGCGAGTAGTTGTTATGGGAGACTGTCAGAAGCTTCTCTAAAACAGGTGCATAGACAGGGGACAGTGAGAGATAAGAAGGCACTGATAGGGGCCCGCCCTGTGGCTTAGTGGTTAAGTGCACACGCTACACTACTGGCGGCCTGGGTTTGGATCCCGGGCGCGCACCAACGCACTGCTTGTCCGGCCATGCTGAGGTGGCATCCCACATACAGCAACTAGAAGGATGTGCAGCTATGACATACAACTATCTACTGGGGCTTTGGGGAGAAAAAGGGGGGAAAAAAAAAAAGGAGGAGGATTGGCAATAGATGTTCGCTCAGGGCCAGTCTTCCTCAGCAAAAAAAAAAAAAAAGAAGATTGGCATGGATGTTAGCTCAGGGCTGATCTTCCTCACGGGAAAAAAAAAAGGTACTGGTAGGCTGGCAGCTTTGAAAGTGGTGAATAGAAATTTATATTTAACCTCTAGATTCATGGTTGAGAAGAGTCTTAGTGCTGAAGGGGATTTTAGAGAGCATTTAATCAGCCTCTTTTATTCGATAAATGAGGAAATCGATATTCCAGAAATGTTAAATGAATTCTGCAACGTCACCCAGGTGATGATGAGTTTTAGAACCAGATTTGCCTCTGTTTCACAGATAGCGTAAACTAACCTTCCTGCTCAACACTCGGATTTAAACTTTCCAGAAGACATAACATGCATTCTTTTTTTAAAGATATCCAAAGATGAAGATTGTATCATCTTTCCTAATAGTACATTCCTTTTAATTAAAATTTAAAAGCTGAAGTCTTTAAAAACAGCAACCACAAAGCCACTAATTTTATTACTTTTTTTAATAAAGTGCCACCAAAATATGTTAAAAGCATGTCACAGAAATTTTCTTAGGAGGATCATAATATTTACCATTTAAAATGCTAGGCTCTTTATGTTACTGCATTTAACCCTCATAATAGGATTAGGAGATGGGTTGGCCCTGAGCGTTCAGTCACGTACCCACGCTGTTTTGGCTGGGAAGTCACTGACTTCAAAGCTGGTCAGCGGCAGAGATCATGCTCAGACCCAAGCTGCTCTGGCTGTAAGTCCTGTGTTTATATATCACCAGAAATACTCATCTTCTGGAAAATGGACCTCTCCAGAACAGGGAAGGACTGCTGTGAAGGACTGACAAATCTTAACAGTCTATTGAATTACAACTGAGATTTTCTTTCCCTGGTGTTTTCCACATCATATTCTTTACCAGCACTGTCCAGTAGAAATATAATGCAAGCCACATCCATAATTTAAAATGTTCCACTCGTCTTATTAAAAAAGTGAAAAGAAGGTGAAATTAATTTTAATAACATTTTATTTATCACAATATATCTGAATATTATCATTTCAGCATGCAATCAATATAAAAAATTATTGCTATTTTACATTTTTTTGGTGCTTTCTTTGAAATCTGGTGTCTGTTGTATAGTTACGGGACATCCAGTGTGGACTAGCCACGTTTCAGGTGATCGGTACGACATGTGGCTTGTGGCGACCACATTGGACAGTGCAGGTCAGCATTCTCAGCGTGTGTTAATTTTTACTTGGGTTTCAAAGACATGGCTCTTCTGTAAAAGACCACGAGAAGTCATTGGTAGCAAAAAGAATACTTTTATTTTCCTTTTTCCTCACAACTGTACTTTTGTTTCTTGCAGTCTGTTCTTTGATCCTCTAGTCTTTGTACTAGAGTTGGAACAGGAACACCTATTCTACTAAAAGTGGTTTGCTGGTGCCAGTTCACCTCTGAACTGCGTGGGATTTGAGCAACAATCTCTAGTTACTATGTGAAAGACAACAGTTCTTGATCGTTTTTCTCCCCTATCACTTAAAATGTCAAATAGGGACTTTTTTCTCACCTAAATGCACGTAGTGTATGACGGAATTACCGATGGCGAGTAGTTACCAACCCAGAGCTGCATCTGCGGTGAAACACGTCAGCTTCTTCACTAAAGCAGTTCTGTCGCCCCCTTCCCCATTTTAAACAGTGTGCTGTCAGCATTCTCTGTGTGCCTTCTTACTTTAGTCTTTTAACATGCAGGATTGGTTTTCCTATGCTACCTTATTGTTCTGCCTGCCACTAGGACTACTGCCACTTTCTCTGTTGCTCTCTTATGAGAGTTAGGCAGTAGCCTAGACCCCAGATAGCCAAATGCTGCTTTCAGGGTTTCCATGTGACTTAGGAAGACAAAAGGTCATCAAAATTATCAGCAAAAATATTTATTCCTTGTCCACTATGTGTAGAACACCATGCAGTGTACAAGTTGGTTAGACAAGACCTGTTCATTCAACAGTAGTTCACCAGACAAGGTGACGGACTCACAGGATAACCCCCGATACTGCAGCAGCACAGCTGAGAGCCAGCCTTGGAGATGAGCGGTTTTGCACCCCGGGTCTCCACCCTCCCAGCCATATCACTTGAGCCAAGTTACTGAATCTCGGTTTCTTCCCTACAAACTGTAATGATTCCTGCCTCCCAGTGTTCATGTGAGGTTCCAATGAAATGACATGCTGAGCACCAAGTGCCGTTCCTGGTTTATAGGGACGCTCATTACTGTCATCACGAGGTGGAGTATACAGATGCTAAGGTGAGCAGTGGATACAATGGGTGTGGTGGGTTGAAGGCTAGAAGGAGGAAGTAGGACTTAAGGTCAATTGTGAAGGCAAAAGTAGTGGCAGATGCAAAATTATGCGTTGAATTGAAAAATTACAATTCTGTTATCTAGAATTGCAATGCGCACAGTGATTTAATGGGATCTCTGTCCTTAGCCTAGCTCAACTTGGGAAACCTGACTAAATAGAGCAGTTTTATTAAGCCCATATGTTAAGCTGTACTCCATATATTACTCCACAGTCTACATTAACAGCTCCTGGAGCCCATATTTAGAAACTGGTCCAACCACAAGGGAAAGTTTATTTCATGGTTTAGGAGAAACTTTTTGTTTGTTTGTTCGTTTGAAAATAAACTTTATTTTTCAAGTTGAAAGGACTTTTCTAAAATTCTTTTTTTTTTTTTTTGCCCATTTTCATCTTTTTGCTTGAGGAAAATTCACCATGAGCTAACATCCATGCCATTCTTCCTCTATTTTGTATGTGGGTCGCCGCCACAGCATGGCCTCTGAGGAGTGTTGTCAGTTCACGCCTGGGAACCAAACCTGGGACCCTGAAGCAGAGCGCACGGAACGTAACCACTAGGCCACAGGGCCGGCCCCAGAGAAAAACTTTTGAAGGGAAGAAATAGTGAATGGAAATCATAATCAATAATAATTTTAATCACAAATATTATTTTTTGAAAGTTTTCTTAATTGTCTGTTGAAACTAGAATCCATTTTTTAAATTCTTA